AAGCAGTGAGATGTTCCACCAGTGGTGCTTCTGGGGCTGTGGAACAAATGTTTATCTGAGAGGGAAACCTAATACAAGATAATCACTTTATTTACAGGAACACACAATGGCGTTGCTGGCATTGGGAGCGCAGCTGCTCCCCCCAGCAGGAATAACCATCCTTATGGGGGAGGCACAAAGGAGAAGGGCAGATGTAGAGGCTGAGAGCTGCTGGGTGATTGCAGGATTGTCAGCAGACACCAGGAGGGAGGAGGAGCCACTCTCTATCCTCAAAGAGGGGGTTGAACGCTCCTTTAGCAACACAAGACCCTTGCACAATCACAGTTTGGCTTGGCCTCTCCCAAGGCTCTGGAGCTGCTGTGACTCCCTTGCTTTCCACAGCCTGCAAAGCAAATCATGTCTGGAACTGCAGCAGGGAAAGCTGGTCTCACACAGAGACGGAATGCTGCGTGCAATGTGTTCGCAGCATCACACAGCCCCTCAGACTCTGCCATTCATCTGCAGAAGACAGCAAACATTGGCACTGCCAGCTGGCAGAGTGTGCCTGAGGGAAGCAGACACTCCACTCTTCCAACCTGGTGCAGGAAGGCTGAGCACATCAGTGTGTGCAGGCACACTGCTATCCAGCTCTGATGGAGATGTGGCCATGAGTAATTCACAACTAGAAGGCCAGCAGCACATCCTGGTGCAGACAGAGCAGCTGGAACACCTGTGGGCTCGAGGTGGAGGAAAGCCTGCATGCCCACAGCCCTTCCTGACCTGTCTCCATTGCTCCTGATGTGACTGCAGTTCTCGGAGCTTGGCAATGAGCCTTCTGCTCTCCCAATCTGTATTATAGCTGAGCACCATAGAATCGTAGAATCATGGAACTGAGTTGGAAAGGACCCTTTAAGGTCATCAGGCCCAACTTCCCTGCAGTGAGCAGGGACACCTGCATCTCAATCAGCTGCTCAGAGCACCATCCAGCCTGACCTTGAATTTCTCCAGGAAAGGGGAATCCACTATTTCTCTGGGCAACCTGTGCCAGTGCCTCACCACAGTTAATGTGAAAAACTCTTTTTTATATCCAATCTGAATCTCCCCTCTTTGTGTTTGAAACCATTTCCCCTATCACAGCAGACCCTGCTGAAGCCTATTCTTACAGCCCCCCCCAGGAGACTGGAAGGCTGCTCTCAGGTCTCCCCAGAGCCTCCTCATCTCTGTGCTGAACAGCCTCAGCTCTCAGCCTGACCTTGTAGGTGAGGTGTTCCATCCCCTGGATGATTTCTGTGGCCCTCCTCTGGATGCAGTTTTGTACTGAGAACGCAGTGCTCCAGGTGAGGTCTCACCAGTGAAGAGCAGAGAGGCAGGATCATTTCTCTAGACCTGGTGACCACGCTTCTTTCGATGCAGCCCAGGATACGGTTGACTCTGTGGGCTGCTAGGACACAGTGCTGGCTCATGACAAGCTGCCATCCATCCGTACCCGAAGTCCTTCTCAGCAGGGCTATGCTCCATCCTTACAACTCCCAGCTTATAGTGATAATAGAAATTGCCACCACGCAAGTGCAGACCTCACACTTGGATTTGCTGAATCTCATGAGTTTCACCTGGGCCCACTGCTCAGCCTGCCCAGGTCTCTCTGAATAGCATCCCATCGCTCAGGTGTGTCAACCACACCACACAGCTTGCTGTCCTCTGCCAACTGTGAAGGTGCAATCCCACTATTGATGGCACTGATGAAGATGTTATCGAGCATTACGCCCAGTACTGACCCCTGAGGGACACCACTTGCCCCTGATCCATTCCTCTGATGGAAGTGAGGGAGAGCTGCTCCAGCAGGCTGGGGGCTTCCAAGAGCAACCCTGCAAACAAGAAGGGCACAAGGAAATACGAGTCTGAGAAGAAGGTGAAAGAAAAACCCTTGTGTTGGAAGGAAGACCTCACCCAGGGCTGCAAGAGCAGCAAATCCAGTGCTTTGCTCCTGGAGCCCATGTGCAGGGAGAGCCTTAGAGTCCAAAGACTGCACAAGTTTGGGCAGATGTTTTATAGTGATGTGGAAAGACACATCTGTGGCAGCAGGGGGACTCCCTGCCAATTTACAAATCCTTGCTCTAAGCCCTGGAGGTGTAGAGTTTCTCAAAGAAACCATTGTCAGAATTTGTTTAACTGTATTTTTTTCCTAATCTAGTTCTTATTGATCCCCCCTATGAAACAAAAGAACATGTAATCTGCTTTTCTATATATCACAGACTGTTAAAGGTCATCTAGATACCTAGATCAAGCCAAAATATGAATTATGGCTAGTGTTTTGAACATAAAGATGGAAGATATCTGTTACAGACAGGGACAGAAGAGGAGGATATTATCAACATATTTTAGTTTTATGGCAAGGCAGAGAAAAACCCTGAGCAAGTACCCTACATAATTTAATGGACCCAGCTTTTCGCCTCCCTTCATGGAGCTCAGTTGAGTTCCTTAAGCTTCACATCAGGAACTGTTTTTCCTTCCTGAGAATGACTCAGAGCTGGAGTCAGCTTGTCCTCACCATCAGCTCCAAAAGCAGAAGACATGCACTTTCCAGACTGGGAAGGAGAGGTTAAATGCCAGATGGCGACAGCTCCTAGACCATAGAGTTTATGAAGGCTGAGAAAGCATGGATAATTTATGATTTCATTTTGGAAGAGGAAAGTATAGTCACTGTAACTAGATGCTTCTTGCAGGATGACACAGTGGGCTGGCAAAGCTTCCTCTCACCCCCTGGTGAGGTGCCAATGGCCAGAGGGATCTCTTTGGCCATAAGCCCTGCAGCTCTTCCATTCACCCTACCCCCAACATGACAGAATAGGGCTGTATGGCAGCTACATTTGAACTCTTAAGTTGTTCCCTCAGAAAATCACAAAGTACTGATTTTGGCAGATGGAGTTTCTGAAGAGTCCTCGGGATGGCTTTTCTTTTGCAGTTTATCCTAGTACGTTGTTTCCTTGAGGCAGGGAAATCCTGCTGATATCTGCCAACCTTCCTGACCTGCCCTGCAGAGAAGGGCAAATTGTAGTGTGACTAAAATAAGTGGTGGGCTTCTTTTCCCAGTTCCTTTTCCCTTTGATTGCAAAGACCCTGGTTTCTGAGACTGGATTGCTGAGTACTGAGGTGAGAAAGGACTTCTTAGAGAGAACAAGTCATGAAACACAATGCAGAGCTATTGGGCAGAACAACAGGAAAGAGGAAGGTTATTAAACAGGCAGAAATTCAGGCCAGGTATGGCTCCAGATATTAGCAGGTGGTAGGAATAAAAGTTAATGAATGCAGAGATATATGTGGTGCCTCCTGATGTATTGAGATGAAAACATGTAGTCTATGTAGTCAAGTAAAACATTTACATCTGCCTGTTCTCCAGGAACTTTTGGAAAGATACTTCTGCTTGTGTTTTGTTGAAAGAGAAGCCAGACTGCATAAAAAATCATTAGGAACTGTTTTTTTATTATCATTATTTTTATTATTATCTGTGATTTTTTCCCCTCATGCTAATGATTCCCAGACCTTTCTAAACAAAACAATAATAGCTGGGGGGAGAGCTGAAGGGATCTCTTCCTTTGCCAGTGCTGAGCTACAGAGCATCTAATCACAACCAGGAGATGGGAAGCAAGCCCAGAGCCCTTCAATGTCCAGTTCATGGGAAGAGAGAAAGAGGAAGGAAGGAAGGAAGGAAGGAAGGAAGGAAGGAAGGAAGGAAGGAAGGAAGGAAGGAAGGAAGGAAGGAAGGAAGG